GCAAGGACTGTCTTTGGTCCTCTGCTAGACAAACATCCAGATCTTGGATTTGTAGTTATTTCTAGCTTCAGTGTCATGTTTCAAAATACTAAAGAATTATTTGTTTTATGTGAGTAAGAGGGGTTTATCAGAACATTCAGCCTACCACATTATTGGTGCTTTGTTGTAGATTCCTAAGTTAAGTCAAACATTTGAACTTTTGTGTGATGTTTCTTGGAAACCCGTAGTGATTCAGTCCCTGTGCAGTAGTCTGGGGATAGAACATCAAAAGGAAACAGACAAGGTGTGAGACTGTGAAGACTCAGTGAAACTACATAGGTGAACAAACACGCTATTCGGTCTCTTCTGGGAATACGGATGATTTAAGCATTCTGAGAAAATTGCATATAAGGTTTCAGGAAGGAAGAATATAGATGGATAATTCTAAGCAACTCTAGTCTCTTCTGTTGTAGCAAGTTGCATTTCAATAAATAGCAGGAATATTTTTCATTCAGTAAAAATCTAGTAGGAACCCAGAAATGGCAGAAGTCAGTGTATGTATATTCATCTATGTTCTTTGTTGCCGAGAAAAACAAGGAGCTACTCCCCACTGCACAGGAAGAACCTGTGTCACAGCCTGCACTGCATTAGTGGGTCACATTGTAACTGATGCAGGGTGCTCTTTGCACTATTGCTTTTCCCTGAAATGAATCTTAAGTGCTAGGCAGCGTTAAATTCTGTGCAGTGAAAGAGTGCCAAGTCACAGCCTGAGGTTGAGAGCAATAGGTAGTAAAATAAACAGAAGTGTAATTAGTCTGAGAGTGTAAATGTGCCTCAGGTGCTGCGGGGAGCATAGACTCCCCAAAGTCAGATGATGACTGATGTTTTCAAATTGTTACCCCTGAAACAAATTCATTTAAGTATTATTTTTACCTTTATACAAACCAATACCAATTTTGTAGAATTCCAAACCACTAAAAAGTGGACAATAAAAATGTCCTGACACTCGCTTCAACAGAGGTCTAGGCTAGAAGTATAAATTTTGGCTTGGGACTGGTGGGTTGTCTAGTGGCTAAAGTCCTTGCCTTGTACGTGCCAGGATCTGGTATAGGCACTGGTTCACTTCCCAGCAGCCCCACTTCTTATCCAGCTCCCTGCTTTCGGCTTCGGAAAGCAATCGATGATGGCCATGTGGGAGACCTGGAAGAAGCTCCTGGTTCCTAGCTTCAGATCAGCTCAGCTGTGGCAGCCACTTGGGAGTGAACCAGCAGATGTTTTTGTCTCTCTTTCTCTGTAAGTCTGACTTTCCGATAAAAATAAATACATCCTACAAAATAAATCTTACAAAAAAGAAGAGAGCAAAAAAGAAAAAGAGGGATAGGCATTGTGGCACAATGTATAAAGCTTGTTTTCAATGCCAGCATCCCATTTCCGAGTACTGGTTCAAGTCCCAGCTGCCCAAATGCTTGAGGCTCTGCCACCTGTATGGTAGTCCTCAACAGTGTTCCAGTATCATGGCTTCAGCCTGGCCTGGCCCTAGCCTTTGTGGCCGTATTCTCTCTCTTTTTCTCATTCTTTCTTTCTTGTTCTGTCTCCCTTCACCCATCATCACCTGCCTCCCTACCTCTCTCTGTCACTCTGATTTTTTGCAAACCTTCATGCAAAATACAAGATAGTGATTAGATAGGTAAACATGCAGGCGCATATAGTCATCTAGAGGAATTGTGTAATAGAGACTATTATATCGAGATGTGAAGTTACAGTGCAGTAGGCATCTCTACTTCCAAATCAAAGATGAATTCCCAAATGTATCTTGACAGCAGGATGCTGCAGTGTCTGTCGTTCTCCATATCCACAATGTCAGGATACACTTAAAATAGCAGAATGTTGGACTTACGGTTGTTTTTTAAGGATTATGTTATTGTAATAATAAAGGAGAAATCAGTATGGGGAGGGGATTTTGGGAAGGAGAAAGGGAAATCCCAGAGCCTATGGAATTGTATCATAAAATTTTAAAAAATTTTCAGTATTTGTTACAAAACTGAGATCCTTGCAGACCCTTATGGGCCTCTAATTAGGATGGAGAGTATTGGAGGAGGGGAGAACGTAGCAATGACATTCTTCTTTCCAAATAAATATATTTGAAAAAGTAGAAATATATGGGACTAAACAGTTAACTTAAAAAATCAGTTGGCAGGTCTTGAATAAGTTCTTTATTTTGTTTTGCCACAGGCAGCATTTCATGATCTGCCTAGTATAGCATAGAGTGTATAAGGATAGACAAAGAGGATTCATAAACATATTAATATCTGTACTTACAGATTTTTAAGAGTTTTTAGATTTTTGTTTCAAAATTTTTCTTCACTGTTAATTCAGGCATTATTTTTTTTTCAAGGGATTCTGGGTGATTCTCACACTGGGATAGTTGTTACTTGAGAGTCAGTCCTTTACTGTTTACCTTTGTTTTCTTTTTGCATATTATCCAAACTAGTGTCTTCTACCTAACAGTAGAGTGCCTAAAACAACCTCTTGACACTTAAAGAGTGTATGTCTTCCAGAATTCAAATGCTTCTCAGTTGAAAGTACGGTTTTAATTCTCCTAAGTGTAGTGTATCGCAACTATCTAAAAAGAAAGCGTGTTGGAGTACACCTCACCTACTGAAACAGCCTACTTGGGTGCCACTGCCCACTGTGTAGGCTCAGTTGTTGAGTTGTTTCCTTTGGTGATGGTGAAATTGGCGGAGCCTGTTGTCAATCCTCAGCATCACCAGAGAGTGTCAAACCACACAACACCGATTGGAGCCCAGTAATACCAGAATTCAAATCCTGGTTTCTACTGAATGTGTATGATTTTCATATCATCAAAAGATGCAAAGTTGTAAGTAAACCATCTTATGTCAGTTAAACCATTTTATGTCAGGGACCATCTGTGCTTAGAATAAATAAATGTTATTGCATGTAAATTTTATTTCAGTGAGGTTTATGTTAAGCCATGCATCTATTCCAAATGAAAAAGTGGAATGTGCCAGATCCTGTGATTCAGAGCAACCTTGTGAAAGAAAGCATTTGTGGAGACCAAAATCATCTCATGAATCTCCTGATGGTACTCAGCCTGTATGCTCTCTAAACTCAGGAAGTACAGTGTTCCCCAGTGACATTCCACCTGGTGCTAGAATTAGCTGAGAATACACAAATTGACATATAAATATTTGTGATATTCATACATATCTGTACAGGTGTATATCATGTAATCATGCAGCCATACAGCATTGTATAGATGCTAACATGCCCTTTCAAAAATATTGTTTGAATCATTGGTTTGGCCGAGTTACAGGGAGAGGGAGACACTGTTTCACACCCTCAGTTGTCAGAGCAGCTGGGACTGAGTCTGGCTGATCCAAGAGCTTAGAAATCCATTCAGGGGGCACCAGTTTTTGCATCCTCAAAGTCCTAGAACCAATTCAGCTGGGATCCAGGGGTGACATATCAGAATGTACCTTGCTCCAGGCTGCTTGGCCACAGAGAGGCTGACCCTGGCCTTCCTCCTCACAGGTGCTGCAGGAAGATTCTCCAGGTGTCTGGCAACCTAAATGCAGAGCAGGAGACCCAGGACATGTTTATTCTGCTTTTTTTTTTTTTTCAAAAGAATTAGAAGAAGAATCTAATTTTAAAAGTTGATTATACCATTTCCCTTTCAACTACCCCCTCCAAAAAAAAAAAAAGAAAGAAAGAAAGAAAGAAAGAAAGAAAGAAAGAAAGAAAGAAAGAAAGAAAGAAAGAAAGAAAAAGAAAGGCTACTGAAATGGAACTTGTGGCACCTAACATTATCTTTTAAACTGGCTATATATTTTTTCCCTGGGTTTTACCTTTTCTGAGGAAAAGATTTACTGAAATGAAGTATTTTGCCAGCTTTCTAGCCAGATTTTATTTCTCATTTTTAGATTATCTCAACCTAAAAATATTTAGAGACCTACGATAACTATAGAATGTATTCTGTTGCTTTAGGAGTGGTTTGTGCTTGTCATCTTCTCGTCCTTCATTACTTTTGTGTTTTATCAGTTTGTGGGTTCTCTACGAATATGTACTGGTTTGCTTAGATGTTACCTTGAATTTTGTTGTCTGTTGTTTTGATTGTGGACTTTGCTTCCTCCTTTGCTTAATGGACTGAAGTGTATGATGCCATTAGTGGTATTGTCCTGTAAGGCATAATTGAATATACTTCATTGAAATCCTGGTGCAAGGCGAGTCTTGATGCAGTTACTTTGGTATTTGTGGAGTGTTTGGACCTACCGGCTTCTATTCTTTTTAACAGCTTGAATCTCTGTAAAGTTTGTCATGTTTTTCTTCTTCCGGTATTCAAGAAGTCATCTCTGTCCTGCAAAGGTACTCTTACCAATGACTTTTGTGTCCTTTAATTTCTGTATGAGCCCAATATTGATGCACTGTATCATTTGGTACATAAATTAAAAGCATACTTATGCAAAAAGAATTATTCTTTGTAAATATTTCTTTTTAAAACATTAAAAATATGTTGATCATCTACAAATTAAAGATGAGTACTAATGTAGTTAGAAAAACTTGATATTTAAAGTGTTTAATTTAGAGTGGGACCTGTAATTCCTACATATAAAGAAAAAGTTTATTAAGTATATGATTAATATGTTGAATAGTTTTTACTGCTAACTTTATTTTAGAAATGCTTTTCATTTAAATTATTGGATCAATAACACTGTAAATTAATTCACCATAAAGAAAGTACATGGCTGTCTTTTGTCCTGGGAAAAGGCATGTGTTCTAGGCAGGTCAACAGCTGTAAAGCTGTGCCTTTGTATTTATGTTTCCTGTGTTGGTATGTTTAAATAGAGTCTTAGGCATATGAGAATAGGCTGTTTGCTCGTTACTATTCTTGTGATATGACTGAAGTTGGATCCAATAGGAATTTTTCCAGATAATCCTTTTTTTCCATTGAAAAGAGAATTAAACAAAGCGATTAACCCATCTCTCAAATTTTTCATTTTCAGAGGCGAGGAACTGCCCCACCTCCAATGAAACTGCCTCCTCCTTATAAAGTTCCATTGGAAGACAACGATGAGGAGAACGAAAAGGAACATGCATTTACTGACAGTGAGTTCCCTTCATTGACAAGGGTGGATGCAGGATTCTTTAACCTGTGATTTAATAACTAATATGCATCATCGAATCCAGGGATGCTAAACAAATTATATTTTTGGAATTAGCATAGCCCTTTTTCTTAAGCTTTTTTCTTTCACATTGTTAGAGGGAAATATCAAAAGAAGCTGTGTTGTAATCTAATCTTACTATTTGGTTGTGAATACGACAATATTGAGTTCTTAGAACTGGAGCTTGACTCATAATATGAATTGGATATAGCTGTCACCTCTTGATTATTTGCTTTACTTAAAGCAATGTTGATATAGCTAGTGCAAGATTCCAGAAGTTCTAGCAAGACCAATTGTATCTTTTGGAATTCATTTCATGATTTCCTTTTCAACTTCTAATTCATTTGACATTCGTATGTTTTAATGAAGATTTCATTTTTTCAAAACATGCCTTTCTTGTATGTATGTACGATTAATTAGACTTGGCTGCTGATGTGTATGAAATGTCTTTTGGAAATGTTTTAAAATCAGATAGTGATGAGGGTTGTACAATTGTATACTTACATTTTATGGTACTTGAAATATGTTATTATGAAAATGTGGTTTTGTGTGTACGTGTCTGTGTGTGTGTGTATGAAAATTCTAAGTCCAACAATGCCTTAAATGTGTTTCTAGGTACACCCTTTTCTTTAAAAAAGGATCTAATGAAGCTAGCTACTAAAATAGAGTTGTAGTGGGCAATGAAATAATGCAAAAATACCTTTACTCTTTTAAATATTGAATCTCTAAGCTCTTATTTTTTAACAATCATTAAGTTAATATTTTTCTAAATATAGATAAATTTAAACTTATAGCAGATTTTCTTTATAAAATCTTGATTTATATGTTGTATATCTTCATTTGTATATTTCAGTTTTACAAAACCCTGTCTGCTATGTTGTTTTTCTTACTCTGTTGAATTCCATCTTCTTTTTAGTACAAGCATTGAATGAGTCTGCTGTGAAATAAATATATTTATCTAATTATTCATTCATGTAGTGGAGTCACCACCCTAATATGGGAATAAAAAAATCTGCTGACACAGTTGATCAGTGTGCCGTAGTGCTTGATTCCCCAGCTCTTTCTGGAGGTGTACACCTGGTGGATACAATTGATATGTAAGCCCAGATGTGTAAAAGGCTTCTTTATTTTGTTTAATTCACTGACTCCCTGAGGGGTTGATGCTGTTAGAGACTGAAGTTCGGCTTGAGAGGAGCATCTTCTGCTCACATCTCAGTTCCTGGTTGGTCAGTGGTGCTTGTAGCCTTTGTCTGATTCATCAGTGTTGCTGTGCTCCTCAGGGAATTTTTATGATTCCCAGTGGACTTCAGTCAGCCTTGGAGCTGTGTGCGGATGGAGGTTACTTTCTGGACAGATCTGAGAATTCTCCTAAACGAAACCCCACTGAGACAGTACCAGCCCTCAAGGTGTTATCTATTGGAAAAGCAAATGACCTCATGGGTCAAGTGAAGAGAATCCTGTAGGGTCAGCTGCAGCGCTTGCTCATTTCAGGGAGCTAATGATAGTGTTGCGGGCCAGGTCAGTTCAGCTAAAGGAGGGAGGCTCAGAGAGTGCTGTCTGATGCTGTCTGGCATTTGCATTCATGGCACTGTTTAGGACCTCAACTTCACATTCTCCCAACTCTTCAAACACATTCTCATTTATAAAATAGGTGGATGAGCCTTCAGAGAGGTTAACATAGCTTCTGTTGTTTTCAGCTAAATGGCGCCTTTTTAGGAATATTTAATTTGATTCTTTCATCTAATAAGGGTAAACCGCATTTTTCTTTTATAGCCTTGAATTAAATGTAATTCTTTAAATGTAATTATTAAAGCAAGGTCCCTAAATAAAATGTAATTCTTGAAAGGGAGTTATTAAGCTGAGATCAGTGTTCCTGTAATCGTTTAGTCCACAAGGCCTAGTGACCTCTCTGTCTTGCCTGGTGGGAGACAGAACCTGAGTTTCCAGCAAGTGGAAAATAGGATGGCAGGCCCGGCGCAGTGGCCTAGCAGCTAAAGTCCTCGCCTTGATCATGCCTGGATCCCATATGGGCGCCGGTTCTAATTCCGGCAGCCCCACTTCCCAACTAGCTGCCTGCTTGTGGCCTGGGGAAGCAGTTAAGGACGGCCCAAAGCCTTGGGACCCTGCACCTACATGGAAGACCCAGAAGAAGCTCCTGGCTCAGCACCGGCCATTGTGGTCACTTGGGGAGTGAATCATGGGACAGAAGATCTTCTCTCTGTCTCTCCTCTCTGTATATCTGACTTTGCAATAAAAATAAATCTAAACAAACCAACCAACAAACACAAAAACCAGGTTGGCTCTCTGCCTGTGGAGTCCGCAGTGGGAATCCCTGAAAACGGAGGCTTGCTCATGGTGCTTCAGGGATGCCCTTGCTGCACCATGGCACTGTCCATCCACTGTCAGTGCAAACTGCAAACACCTTACCACTCTTTCGGAAGAGAAGCCATCTCCACAAAGTCCTACTTCATTTGCTTTGATCTCAGAGGCAGAATGCTTTTACATTTACCAGTTCTTTCTAGTCTGTTGACCTTCATTCTTTCTAATATAGTTTTAAACTATATGGAGCAGTACATTTGGACATGATTTTTTTTTTTTTAAAGATTTATTTTTATTATTTTTTATTGGAAAGGCGGATATACAGAGAGGAGAGACAGAGAGGAAGATCTTCCGTCCGATGATTCACCCCCCAAGTGAGCCGCAACGGTCGATGCTATGCCGATCCGAAGCCAGGAGCCTCTTCCGGGTCTCCCACGCGGGTGCAGGGTCCCAAAGCTTTGGGCCGTCCTCGACTGCTTTCCCAGGCCACAGGCAGGGAGCTGGAAGGGAAGCGGGGCTGCCGGGATTAGAACCGGCGCCCATATGGGATCCCGGGCGTGCTAGGCAAGGACTTAACCACTTGCGCCACCGCGCCGGGCCCGACATGATTTTTTATAATACATAAGGGAATGGTCATAAAGAAACAATGAAAATCACGCAATAGATATAGGCTTTGACACAGAACCCAACGTTTAATGGAGTTGTTGTCGCTTGGCTTTCAAAGTAGAGTGGTGTGAATAGGACCCCACATTGTAGGAATCCTAAGGCCATTTCTTTATACTTCAGTTCCAGAATGGCATATTTTGTCAATTATTTTGCTTTCTCCACTTTAATTTTTTTTCTTTTCTCAAAATGATCCTGGTTTAATTGTTAACTGTGACTCTGCTCTGTGGTCGTCCTCACAGATTTTCTCCTGTCCCAGGTACGTGGTACCTAGGATATTGGAGGTCATCAGCATCTTTGGAATGGGCAGCATAGCGATAGATGCAGGGGAGCCCATACAGATAAAAATTAGATTGCAAATACCATGTGTCTTCATGTCTTACTTAATTCCTACTGTTCTGTTTGATTTATTTTTAAAGCAAGAGTACTTGTTAAAATCTTCTAAAATGCGGTTTACTACCAAATCTATTACTCAGAGTCACAGTATCTGTTAGTTTATAGAGTATGAGTTAAAAAAAAAAACTTTAGGGTCCAGCGTTGTAGCCTAGCAGCTAAGGTCCTTTCTTTGAACGCGCCAGGATCCCATATGGGCACAGGTTGTAATCCCAGCAGCCCTACTTCCCATCTAGCTCCTTGCTTGTGACCTGGGAAAGCAGTCGAGGATGGCCTGCATTGGAGACCCAGAAGAGGCTCCTGGCTCCTGGCTTCTGGCTTCGGATTGGCTTCAGCCTCAGCCATTACGACCACTTGGGACGAGAGGAAGATCTTCCTCTTTGTATATCTGCCTTTTCAATACAAATAATAAAATAAATCTTAAAAAAAATGGCTTTATTGAGATTATTTCACATGGTTCTTGTATATTCAGTGTTTTAAGTATCACAACTGCTAATTGTAGAGCACTTTAAAAAAGATTTACTTATTCAGTTATGTGATAGAATTTCTTAGCAATTAGGTAATGTCCCAGAAAGGCACATTTCCCTCTGAGTGCCTTGGGATTGTTAACCTAGGTAGTAATAGTAAGTACGAATCTCGGTGTCCTTTGCGTTATCACCATTGCTTGATGGTTTTATTTTTATTGTTAACCTGTCACTGCATCTTTGGCGTCGTTGGTTCATAGGTACCTGAATCAGGTCCAGATATCTTGTAGCTCTTGAGTCTTCTCAGTTGAGGGTGCTGAGACAGTGAATGGTTAGCTTAGGTGGCCTTGTTGGGTGTTTAGGGGACTCATAAGGATTCTCGCTTCCAAAGCTTTGTGCTGTGTGCCATGCCTGTTTTTAGCATAAAGTTATATCATGAACTCATGGACATAAAAACTGTTAAGCAGATAGTAGCTTTTGTGGAATTAAAATATTGTATAGTTTTAGTAAGATTGTAGAGTTGTGTAGTTGATCTCTGTCTTGCCAATAGATGTCGCTGCAATCAACAGCCATTTTTACCAATTACAGGATGTTATGAGTGGTCACTTTAAATGAACAGCTGTAGTGACTCCTGGGATTATTTACATGTTCTTTTTCATACAGTTGTGAATGTATCTGCTCTCTCATTTTTTCTTGTTTTGGATCATGCAAAATGGCAGAGAAAGTGTGAGAAATAAACGATAAGATTTACTTATGTAAGCTCTTTTTCTCATTTCCTACATGGCTAATCATCTTTTTCTAGATAGTTCATATTCTTACTTAAATTCTGACCCTATCCTTATAATTGGAGACTGTTGAGTTTGAATTTCCGCTGAAGTTGGGAATTTTTTAAGATTTATTTATTTGCTTGGAAGAGTTAGAGAGCGACATTTTTCTGTTCTCTGCTTGAATCCCCAGACATCTAGAGCAGTAGGAGAGGGGCTGTGCAGAAGTCAGCAGCCAGGGGCTCTTTCTAGGTCTCCCATGTGCGTGGCTGGGGCCCAAAACCTAGATCCTTTTGCATTGCTTTCCCAGGCCATTAGCAGGGAACTGGATTAGAAGTGAC